TGCATTCTCAATCATCCAGGAAAATAAATCTCCAAAAGTTGATTCGCTACGTCCAGATGAACAGAATCAACTTTTGGAGGGTTACACCTAGAGCAAATGTAGAATCACAAATGAGCTTTGCATGCATGTCTTTAGACTGTCAGAGCAAACCCACACAGTCACAGGGAGAACATGTGAAACCCACAGGGGAAGGCTCCCAGCCAACCGGCAGATTCAAGTTTAGAGCCTTCTTGCTGTGAGGAAACAGTGTGAATCACTGCACCACTTGGTATCCATCTAGCGGGTGGAAAACAACTTGACACGTTTGAGGAATTGTCATATGTTTGCAATTAAAATCTAGGAAACAAAAAAAACACACTCAACTTGGTCATTCAACAACACATTTCTCAAATTGTGTGAAAAACCTCAGTTGATCTTTGCAGCACATGAAGCCCTGGCCCAACAGCGTCTGGAGATAATCATCCTCTTGGCTAACTGGATATCAAAGATCATTTATGCACATACATACTGACTGGCCAATAACCCATATTCACTGATATCTTAAACATTTTCAGACTATCTTTGAATGTCTTTTTTGTCCATGTGTGGAGTATTAATGCTGACCTGTACTCGTTTGTGTCTCCTAAAAACATAATTTCCTTTTCAAAAATGTAAGTTCAGCGCTCTCCACTAAGAATCGCTTCAGGTATGCTCTATCTATGCCACTGTCTTACAGATGACCCAGCCAGTTTGACCCATGTTCAGCTGTAGCCACTAGTTTCAGTGATAAACAGACATACTGTGAAAAAGCAGTTGCCCCCTTCCTGATTTCTTAGTTTTTTCTGACGTTTACAGATTTAAGATCAAACACTAAATATTAGACAAGGAGATCCTGAGTAAATACAAAAATGCAGTTTTTAAATTGACAATTTCATTTATTAAGTGAGATAAATTTCCTCCCCAGGGATGTGAAACACTCATTTCCAGTTATCACAAATATTTAGTTGCAGTTTTAGCCGTGCCACGTGTGGCACAAGCAGTTATTAGGTTAGGGGGCAACTGCTTCTTCACACAGGGCCAGGCAGGTTTGTTTTCTTCTGTCTAATATTAAAAATATGTTTAATGATCTAAAACATGCAAGTGTGACAAATATACAGAACAAAATACATGGGGAGGGGAACAGTAATGCAGATATATGGAGTAAAATCCTTATGAAAAAAAGATCAAAGTTTTCTAATGATCCTTACATGAGAGCGAAAATTAATCAGCAGTCGGTGGTCACGTGATGTTTAGATACAAATAAGAGGCTTGCAGACAAACAGGGTTAGATTAGAAAAAATCTGCAAACACACATTTTCTAACTATAACCACCAGGATTAACCAGCTATAAATAAACTCCTGTCTTATTTCAGCATGATGCACATGGATCACTGATTTTTCCTTCAAACTTCTCTGGCTTCAATCCTAGAACATTATATGATATAAACTAAATACTCAAGTGCATATTTTTTTTTTCACATTTCTACATGTGAGAGATTAATGGTGTATTAGGCAACTCAGCACATGAAACCACCACACCTTATAGTCCCCTCACATAAATCAAAGAGATATTTAGACCTATAATTCTCCTGGTTAGAGAAACTGCATTTTGTAATGAATAACTGCTGCTTACAATGAAACTCGTCTTTAATCAAGAAATTCATATACATTTCAATTTTAACATTAATGTTCTGGACAAAAGACAGTACTGCGCTGCATTCAGCAATGGAAATCTACACTTGTACTTTGCCCTGTGCCTTGAGACAATGGAGGCGGCGTTTCATAGAGATACGATTATAACTGTCTCCAGTCACACATTATGCAGCTGAGGTGAAGGAAAGCCTGTGGAAAAGCCACAGCACCTTATAAAGTCAGCCTCTTCGAGTGTTACACCGTGCCGGAATAAAATTACTTCCATATGGGCGCTGCAAGTATTTACTGTTTGGACAGCATACGTACAGTGATCAAGGGAGTTCCTCCATAAAGCTGCATATTAAAAAGGTTGTTGGGGGGTTTACAGAAGTAAAGACGAAATGATGGTTTGGACAGATTTGTTTCTTTATGGAAGTATGAACTTTTGCAGTTATGTTATGGCTTGTTTGTAAACACAGTGAAGGCTTTAAATGTGAGGACACAGGAAACACATGCTTTCAATATATCACTCCGTGTTTAATTGTATGCGAATTAAATATTTCTGATAAACATTTTTGCTATAGCATGTGTAACAATATCTACAGCATACACTTCAGATCACTCAGTGAATAAACCCTTTAAATTGGAGACATTACAGATTATGTCAATTTTTTTATAGTGCAACTACAAGTGTATATTTGAACTAAATTTCCATATCAGTTCATGTAATATAACAAAAACATCTCTTTCACATATACACAGAAGTGTTTTTAAAACATTAGTTCCATCAGGGGGATGTAGTGGATATGTCACATGTTGTACACAAACCTATAAAGCTATTCCAACATATAAATAAAAAAAGAGCCGAGTGGAAATATTCAAGGCACTTAGAATTATACAACAAATGAATTTACAGACAAACAGAACTAAATACAAGTTAATCAAGCTGTGACATTTCAGATACAGTTGGGAGCCAGGACAGATTAGGTGAGCTAAAAGGCATATTTCTGTGTTATAATAGTAAAAACAATATCCTAGCAAACATTGCGTGTTGCCATTCATCCATAAAGTGCATCACATGACCTGTTCCAGGCCTAGTTTGAGACAAGTCAACATCCCCCATAGCCATTATATCCTTCATAGTCATCATGAAAGAGTGAAAACAACAGCTGCTCAGCAAACTCGACCACATGTCGTCTGCCTCTCAAGTGCTCTTAAGTGTAAAAATATGGCTTTAGTGGATGATTTAATGAATAACAGTCTTGATGCAGATAAAGAGCCAACAAAGCTAAACTGAGTTTATTAGTTGCCTGTGGCATTCACTTCTTCCTCAAATACCAGCCTGATGGTTTTGCATCCTAACAAGCTTTGAAGGCTTTGAAACGATGACTACGTTGGCCTAGTTTTTGCTCTTTTTCCAGCCCGTCAGGTCTTAAACATTAGGATTTTTCAGGTAAAAAGAATAGCACCGCTGTATACTTGAGGAGCTGTCACCTCTTTGTGTCTTTCACCCAAATTATATAGTTATAATTATATAATTATACTCCTGAGTATCTCACCTGGTCGATAGTTTTATCAGCTGGGATTTTGAGACATCTGAAATAAAAATTCTGTCGAGGTTTCCTAGGATGCCCCAAAACATGACTAAC